ATTTTTCTGTAATTCTGTATCATTTCTACCCTTTTTTCTCCATTTTGTTTGTTTCTCTTTAAATAATAATAAAAAATGGTTTTCTATATAATTAAAATGAACTCATAATTTTTATGTAAATTTCCCAAGACCACAGTAGCTGCATTTATGAATGCTTCATTCTGCCTATCAGAAGTGCTAATGAATTGTGGGGAACAAAAAAGACTTCAATGTAAAATATCAAGGGGAAGCTCATCACACATTTTGGAGATCAAAATCAGCCCTTTAACATTCTTCTCCAAATACTTGTCCACATCATTCCAAAAATTTTGCCCCAACTTCAGGGCCAGTGATAGAGCTCAGCAGTACAGCACTTGCCTGAAGAGTACAAGGTCCTGAGTTTGATTCCTGTTACCAGGAAAAATACATATATATACAAAATCCAATTTCTTGTACTTCTTTATCCCAGTTTGGCACATTTTTAGTTCTTTCCAGAGACATGGAAACATCCCAGTATTCTATTTATTGAATAATGCAAAAATATGGAAATACCATATCAAAAAATATGGAAAAATAATCATAACATAAGGAATATTTAAAATTGTTTGAATCTGAATAGTAGATACAATTTGGCTTTTAGGCTAGAGCACAATGGATGTGTGGTGATATGTGGATATAAGGGCAAAAATATTAAGAGCATCAAAGAGGTTCAGGAAGAATGTAAAAGAGCATGAAAGACAAACTTAGCCTGCATTTTTGCCCTGGAATGGAGCTACTCACCCTAAGCTACTTTTAGGTTTCCCTGAACTCCAAATTCATTAACATCTTGAAGGATCAAGACACAAAAGACATCTTAATTTAGGAGGAAGGACTAGTGTAAAGTTATAGCAATCTCTAGTGCAAAGGGTGCTAAATGTCTCACACGCTAACCCAAGGAAAGCAACACTGGACTGGTTAAAAAAATTTTTTTTGGTGCTGGGAATCAAACTCAGGACCTTGGGGGCTGGTAAAATGCTAAGAACCAGGTCTGCGTGGGAAGATATTCCTCACTTGTAGTCCGTTTCCAATTCTGTGGCGGAAATATTCCCACACTGGACAATCCCAAACTACATTTGATGTCACTGTGCACTAGTCACCTTTCCATTGCTGGGACAAAATGCCTGACAATGACAGCTTAAAGAAGGAGAAGTTTATTTTGGCTCACAGTTCCAGGGATTCCACGATATTTGGCTAATATCACTTATAGAGAGAGCTATCATGCTGGAAGGGTGTGGCATGGAAAGGCTGCTGTACTCATGGAACCAGAAAGCAGGGGGAAAGCCTGAGAGGAAGGGGTCAGGGACCTGATATAGTCCCCAAGACCAAACTTGAATGATCTATGCAGAGACACTCAGAGTGTGCTTTACTAATCTATAGACATCTATCAAGTCAATCAAATTGACAGGCATATCATATTCATACATGCATGGAACTATATGCAAGAAATATTAATTTTACCATACTATAATTTTTAAAGGGGTGGGAACATTGTAAACTCAGCTAGAGAATCAGAGGAAAGCAAAAGAATAGTGAGAGTTCTATATAAGACTAAGAGACAGCATAGATGAACTGAGTAGAAATGAGTACGTAGGAAAAAAGATAATGAACACTTGCTGTGATTGAAAAGGCAAAAATGGGGGAGAAAAGGTTAAAACATACTTTCACTGAGTTTTTAGCTTGGACAGCTGCGTGCTGAATGGAATTCACTTTCCCAGTCTCCCTTAGTTAGTGCATATTTTAAAATTTTTCATTATAAAAGAATTTTTATTGACCCCACCTATTAAATTTGAGGGGTGGACATAGTGGTATTCGTTACACTTCCCTATGTATTTCCTTGTAGGTTTGAGGTTCATTAAAAAACCATTTAATCCCAAAACAATTACAATCGCAGTAAGACATAGGAATTTAGGAATATCAGTAAAAAAGTAGTTGAACTTTTGGTTTATGCATTCTTAGGTGGATAGGTAGGAAATGAAGATGACCGTGGCAGGCAATGGACCTAATAAATAAAAAGAAAAATTAATGGTTCTTAGTCTTTATATTTCAAAGAATTTATATTTGGAAGTGCTTGTGCAATTTAATAGAACTTATTAGTGCAATAACTTAATGAGCACTGTGCTCTGAAGATTCTCTGAACTGTCCTACAACATGGACAGCCGTTTGTCTCTTGACTTGATTATTTAGTCAAGCATGCCATAAAGTGTGTCATTTCTGGATTCACCAGTGCAGGAAACATTCAGTGAGCGCTCGAGTTGGGTACATTAAGTGCTGTGGGAGACACAAAGAACATACTTGTTGGGGATTTATGGTTTAGGTCATATCAAATTACCATGTCATGCTTAAACATATGTGGAAAAAAATCTATATCCTCTAAAGGCCTGTACTGGTATGATCAAGCAGAGTGATCTGTATCAGTGAGGAAAAAGAACTAGATTACAGAGGAACACAAAACAAAGGGAATAATAAATGTAAGGACAGAAGAAAACTGGAAAGGCCCTCAGTTCCATCCACAGTATCACAAAAATACCAAATAAAAACCTAAAGATAGATAAATAAATACATAGAACCCTGAAATCAAAGTGTGGAGGGTGCAAGTATGGAAAAGAAACAGAATTCTGAGCAGAAAATTATTCAGAAGTCAGATCGTTTATAATTTTACCCATAGTTTTGAATGCTCTTGGTTTTCTTTGGTAAAGCTTGTTTATAACTCATCTTGCTCTATATTTTATGACAATTAAAGAATCTTCTCAAATTATTTTATAAAGTACCATTTGTGTTAAGAGCTTCAAAGTTTTGATGTTTATTTACTTTATTTTATTTATATTTACTTTCAAGTATTGTATGTTAAGTAGTTTCATTGGATAAGTATCCAAATCTGTAACTCCTATATCTTAAAATCTGGATTACTTTGTTTGAAACAGAAACCTCAATAGCTCTTAATCTTTTCTCCTCTCATAAAGACTTAAAGTAAAATCAATATAAATGGGAAGTTAGACTTCTTCCTGTAAAATAGTAAGAAAGGTTTTGCTCCATCTAAATGCATCCTAAGAAACAGAAATATGTATGGATGGTTTTTAAAAATAAAGGAAAAGCTAACTATTTTAATAAAATATTGAGAACTTAAATCACCAGAACACCAGGAAATTTCTCAAAAAATTTTATAAAGTACTTTCCTCTATTGGGATTACTGAATAATTTGTAATTTTTAAAATCATATCATTATTGCATTATTAAATATAGATTAATGCATGAAAAATATGGCATGCTAAAAAATTCAGTCTTGTCCTTGGTTTTACATATCTTACAAACACCATTATGACAATTATCTTTTCACCCAGAAGTCCTTTATCTTGGCCTTAATAATATCAAATATTTGTATGAATTATAATCATCAAATGAAGATAGTTTTGCCTTTTGCCTTGCTCATTTAACACTTCTACAAATCTTTGAGATGGTTAACATTATTATGTATTTCAAAGGCTGTGTTACATTTCACCAAGAAAGTAGAAAGAAATGAATTGAACATTGCCCAATTGTTAAATTGTTACTTGTTAATTATAATCATTCATTCAACAAATATTTATTGGAAATTATTCTGGTCATCTTTCCTGTTGCTGACCCACATGTCAATCATCTCTGGAATAACCTAGTAGGCATTTCTTAAGCCGGTCAAGTTGACAATCATGGTGACAGTCACAGGTAACTACTGTTTGCCAAGCTTTGTACTAAATCCAGAGAAGACAGTGCTGATTAAAGCAAATGTGATCCTTGCCTTTGCAAGCTTATATTTTAGAGGTAATAGAAATTAAACAGACTGCTACACAAAGTAGATTACAATACCAGGGGTGCTTAAGATGGAATCACTGTAGTACCCCAGCAATTGGAAGGGGAATGAGTCAGAGAAGACTTCCCAGAAAAAGTAACATTTGAATTAAGAGGTAAGAAGGAGGTGAAGAAGTATGAAAAGAACTTTCCATAGGGAAGCTGGGAGGAGTAGATCAACTCAGAAGAACAGATAGTACAGAGATAGACAATAGTTGTCAGACTGTGCATTGCCTGGTAGGTCTCCTTAAGGATTGGAGATTATCCCAACATGAATAGGAAACCACTGGAAGACAGCATAACATTGTATGTGTTTTATACAAAGTTCTTTTTGCCTGAAGCATGGAGAAAAGACTGGAGGAAGCTAGAGTAGTTCTGCAGATGTTTGGGGATTCTGTTTCACTGGACCAAGTGGGAAAAGATGGTATGTGAGACAAAGTGACAATAGACCACAGACAGTGGTACCCATGGACATGCAGAGAGGCAGACACAGGTGAAAGAGGGACCTAGTGACTGATGAGAACTTAAGTCTGCTATCTGAACTGCTCCTATTTTTCCCCAGCCCCTTGCTGCAGGAAACAGGAACTCAGAAAGGAATGACACCCAAGGAAGTCTGGCGGCCCTGAACAGCTTTATTTGCACTGGTAGACCTGGATGGGATCACTCTCAAAGAAGTTAGGAGGACCTAGAGGTTGGTGGGCTAGCATTTTTATAAGATCCGTAAGCGAGAGTTACAAAAACAGAACAGATTGGCTGTCTTTAATTAAAAACAGAACAGATTGCCTGTTAGCAGGGCGAGATCATCAGTTACAAGGCTAGATTAATAATTATAGAGTTTGATACTATCAGATATATGCCGCTTGCTCAGACATGCTCTCATGATTACAGAGGTCAAGAAAACAATTATAGAACCAGCAAGCAGTTACAGAGCCAGACAATTTTTTTAAAAAAGTTTTCCCTTGAACAATTTTCTGTTTCACCATGACTGGTGAAAAATTCTTTACAATATCTGGGATCCCAAGTTTTAAGCAGGCCAGGGATACAGCTCATGGTACAACACCAGCCTGGCAAATGCAAGTGCAGGAATGGTGTTGCACACTGTAACCCCTCTAATAAAGGGGGCTAAGGCCGGAGGACTGAAATTAAGACTGGAACCACTAGAGGCACAATGTACCAACTGAAAATGCAAGTTACTTTCATGGCATTATTGAAAAAACTAAGTAATTTTTTGAAGTTTAGATGATAAAACTCTTACATCACAAAATCCCATAAGGAGTCCCTTTCACAGACATAGAGAATCTCTTTTGGTTTGCAACAGAACAAGTACTTAATTTTCTCCATGATCTTGATGGCTAGCACTGTTCTGGTTCTTGGTAAGCAGTGGATGAAGAGTTCCCGGGCTTCCTGAAGGCTCTTGGACAGCAGTTCACACTGCTCCGCTAAAAGCAGGTTGAAAAACTCACAACCCAGCTGGTCACTCAGAAGAGACTGAGACCATAGCAAGATGACCACAAGAGCTTGTAACAAGTACTCCATCTTATCCTCACTGGCAAGGCTGTAAGACTGGGGGTAGTGCACAAGATTTTCCTCAGGTCTGCACTGTGTGCTGGTCAGGTGCACCAGCCTTGGAATGACATACACCTTCCCAGTGTAACCACCAACACTTTGCAGTTTCTGCTTTAGCTGAAATGCAGTGTCTCGGGAATATCCAAGTCCTCCAGTCCAACTGGGGTCTATTAGGATGGTGTAGAGTACCAGAGAGCTGTTAACTGCTATCAGGAGGGCATCACACAGAACTTTCTGCTCTCTCCTTAAGCCAATATCACCAGCCCAGCTTCTAGAAAATATCACAATCCCCTGAGAACAAGGATGTATCTGCATCTTCATTAATTCCTACAGTTCCTTATGATCTGAGAATAGCTTCTTACACAGGGATTCTGGCTTAAAATGTATTTATTCCTGTGTCACTGAAAATTTAAGAAAGAGAAGTGAGTTAACAAAACTTAAAAAGGCATGGGGTCACAATCTCTGCATCTGGGCAGGAATAGGGGTTTCCTGGTTGTAAAGATAACAGTCCCTTTTCACAGCCCAGGGATACAATCAGTGCTTATTTCTGACAGCTCTAGCCCAGGGGAAAGTTACCAAAAGGGATCTTAAAGAACAGCCTCCTAATAGTATTTCCTCAACCCAGGTCCACAAGTCCTGGGAAGGAATTCCTTCCTATTATTTGGATTATTGGTGAACTCAGGCATTATTTGGAAAACTAAGAACTTTCCTTGAGGATAGCAATTCTTAATCAGGGGCAATTTTGTCCCCTGCCTAGAGGACATTTGACAATGTCTGGAGCATTTTGTTACAACTAAAAGGATGTTACTGATATGTAGTGGATGGAGGCCAAGAATGCCGCTAAAACTCCTGCAGTGCACAAGGCAGTATGCAGTGCGACTCAGATGTCAATGGCACTGAGGTTAGGAAACCCTGCTTTAGAAGGAGTGCAGGTGACTCCATAGCTCCCCCTCTATTGGAAGCCAGGTAGCAATTCTCTTTCGGTAGAGAACCAAAGAAAACCCAGCACTCTCAAATCTAGAGAACAAAAACTATACATGACTTGAAGTCTAAAACCCCATAGAGGTACAGTGGGGGTCTGGTAACTGGGAAATAAGATGTATATTTTTTTTTACAGAATGTCTGTTAAATCCTACATTTGGCTTTCTTTAATACTTAAATACTTTAAGAAAATATTTTTTTCAGTCTTTAAGATGGAACCCAGGCCTTGCTCATGCTACCCAAATGCTCTATCAGTGAGTCACATCTCCAGCACACAATTTAGTTTTACAAAACAAATAGTTTCCTCAACTGAAATCAAGAAAGAATACCTGGAAACAAACATTGTTGCAGAGCCCTCTTAAATTCTAGGGCTTTTACGGGGTATGCTGGGCTTCTCAGTGAAGGTGAAGCTGATAAAAGCGGATGAGCACTATAATCCATGGCCAGACTGGAAGGAACTGAACAATTACATAGAAAGTTGTTTTAGACCAAAATGAAAGTAAAAAAAAAATATTGCTCTTCCTACCAGAGACATGAGATGCATATGGTATCTGAGTTGCTATCTCATTTGCTATACCTCAGTTTGATGTCAGGCAATGAAGTCTGGGGACTGCTGAAGGAGTCATGCATATTTAAACTTACTGTGTGATTTATCTTGAGTGAGTTATTTCACCTCTCATGCAAAATGATAATCTCTAAATTCACTTCCAGTGGTAGTATCTTAATCCAAGTCACCCTTAAGAGGAAAAGTCATCTTGTGGACTTTAGAAAGATTAAGCACAAGTTGTTTTTATTGTTACAGTTATTATTTAATCTCCACCCAAGGTTAGATGAAAATGAACATCACAGACTCTCTAGTTTGGGGGAAGAGATTTAGGACCAAATTGAGGACAGAAAAAGAATAATCCAATAAAATTCTCAAATCACTCGAGTCTTGATCGAATGACCCAAGCTTCTTTTACCAATCTTGGAACATACTGACTGTAAAGGCAAACTCATAAATTGAGTTCAGTCTATAAGACTTTTATAAATTGATTAGGAATCTTAAGGCTGATTCCAAACAAAACTGTAAGGGATGTAAAAACACTAGGGCTCTCTTCCCCTTTTACCATTCCCTATCATAGTATCACCTTTTGCATCATTTCCCAGGCCAGTGATAAATGTATTAGCTCCTAATATTACTAAAACAGTTCAAGTTGTCAAAAAATGTATTCCTTGAAAGACTTGTTGCAGAGTCATTCTTTTTTTTTTTCTTTTTGAAACAGGGTCTCACTATGCAGTTCAGGCTGGCCTTGAGCTCATGTTGTAACCAAGGCCGGTCTTGAACTCTCAATGATCATCTGCCTCAGCCTTCCAAGTATTGGAATTACAGGCATGTGCCACCATGCCCAGCTGCAGAGTCATTCTTAAGAAGTCTTTCTCTGAAGATCATCTTTAGAGCAAGATTTTCTATTTAGACTAAGAAAATCAGGGTGGAAGCTTTTTTCAAAAGGTCTTTATAGTGCATAAGAAAAAACACTTTCACCAATTCATGACTGATGATGTGTACAAGTCTCCCAAAACAGACTGAAATAACTGGGTGTAGTGGTGCACACCTGCAATCCCAGAATTCAGGTGGCTGACATAGGAGGATCACTGTAAGTCTGAGACCATCCTAGGCTACACAGTGTGTTCAAGGCAATTCTGAACTACATAATGAGACCCTGTCTCAAAACAAACAACACAAAACAGATTGAAATCTAAGCATTTCTTGACAATCACAGAGTTCAGGTTCTGAGCTTTTTGCAATGAAAAATAGTATTTTCCTATTATGGAAAAACTTTTATAAACAAGAATAATTCCTATTTTTACCTAGAATGGATGTCTGCATACCCAAAAAAGAGAAGGGGCTCCTCTCTTCTGATTGGACGACGCCCTCTTTACCTGACTGGAACGTCCAGCATCATGACCACCCACTGCTCAGCGGTCAGCCTGGTGACAGATTTGTCCCTCATGATTCAGGAATTTGGGGCCTCTGCAAACACCGCACAACAGAAGGGCTCTACCTGAACCACGCAGACATAACCATACACGGCATCTTTTTGGTACACGTTCAAGATTTTGGTAGTGAAATTCACCTTGGGCTTCTCGCAACAGAAGTGGACTGTAGGCAAATTTTCTATGCAGTTTTCTATTTCTTTTTTAAAATAAATCAGGGTTCACTTTTTCTCTCTTACAGCCAAACACTTCTTTGCTCTTGTCATCAACCCCAATAATTATGTACCCCCCTTGAGTGTTGGCAAAAACAGAGACATAATGAGGCAGCATCTCTTTAATCCGAGGTAGCACCTTTTTGGTAGTGAACCTTTTAAACTCAACATGTATTGATTCTGTAAAGTTGAGCTTCTCCTTATATGTAAGTTTATCCTTTTTAAAAAACTACAAAGCACACATCTTTATATCTTCCTCTTCCTGGACATATATTTTGAGAACTTTCTGAGGATACAACTTTGGTCTTCCTCTTTGGGCTCTACATGCCTTCTGTCTTAGAAGCTCCAGGGCACTACTGGCACTCAAGTTTGATAGCAGAGGTTACATCACTCTGATACAGATTGGAATGCAAGCTGAAAATCCTCAATGGGAAGCTGAAAACATCTGGACTCCATGACTTTACAAAAATCAGGAAATCATGTCCCTGCTGCATGTAGACAAGGTATTTCTTTGAACCTGAAGGCAGAGGCATTGAAACAAAGTTTCCAAATCCTGCCCCAGCCCATGGCATTGGTAACTACAGGTTTTACCATCAATCTCTGCTTTGATCATACCACCTCCAGAATTTAGCAGTGCACAGATAGCCTGGATGATTTTTGAATTTTCAGTTCTCTTCAAAGAGCCATTGTTCATCTTCCACCTGTTTTCTTCTCCAAAAGTAATTCTGCCCACTTTTACGATGGCCTCAGCATAGACCATTTCTGTAGCAGTCTTGTGACTCCATCTCAGCAGCCCCTCTGTGCCCCAGTGAGTAGCAGAAAGGTGCTCCTACATATAATCAAGAGAGAAATGCAGTTTCTACTTGAGTGAGAATTCCAGAGAAGACAATAGTTTATTTAAAACTGTAAATTATTGGAGATATATTTTAACATTGGTAAGAATATTCGATATTGCTGTTTTCTAACAACCTTGCCAAATATCCTTAGCCTTTCTCCAAAGCACAGGCATAGATATAAGTGAATTATTAACATTTTTCCATAATGAAAAATTATATTGCTGAAATTGTCAGCAATATAATTTTTTACTTAAATCAGGAAACAACAACATTGAGCATAGCTGTAAAGGGGAAGTGTTGGCAAAGAGCTCAAGTAAGTTATTACAGAACATGTAGAAATGAAGTTAAAATCAAGGAAGCCCTATTTATAATTCAAAGGCGAATGAAAGAGCAGTAGAGAACTAAGAATATATGTATTGTAATCTTGATATTAAAACATAATTTTGCAAGAGAATGTAATCATTATGTACTATAAACATTTACCAACAAAAGTAAAAGTTTTAACAGCAGGAAGAAGTTGCAAAAAGAACTAAGAGATGTTATGTACATGTACTCAGTCCATATGGTTACTGTAGTCATTGTGTATTATAAGCAATTAAAAATAAATTTTTAAACTAAAAAATAAAATATATAATTTTTGTACTTTAATGTGTTATCCATTTAAAAAACCTTATTCTAAAGAGAAATCTATGTGTGGAAAAAAAACAGAATAAATAAATAAATACTAGTGAAATTCTTCCAAATAAGTACATTATCTGTACACTCTGGAAATATCTTGATGGTATTTTCAGACAACGAAGATCTATGGAGTGCAAGGGCTATGTAGTTTATCTGTGTATACACATGGTTTTCCCCCCATTTTTTGTAGATAATATGTCATAGTAAAAAGGGTAATGTTCAAAACCAAAAACCAAAACAAAACAGAAGGCTTATTCTACTCCTGAAATATTGTCAATGGGTACCAAAAGCAGAAATCTCTTTTAGCTCTTCACACATTCTTATAAAATTTAAAAGTGCATTTCTTTTTGCATAATGTGATGAGGAAGTAGGGATTTTCCTTCCTTTCTAATAGTGTGTGCTATAGGAATCTCTAAAAGTTGGAAGGGAACATGTACCTTTAGGGCTTGGTCATTCAGCTGGCCAATGCCCCTTGTACTTCATAGACTAGAGAACAGCCACATAAACTGAAATTAGAGGTCTGAAGCAAACATTTCAGGAAGGGACCCTCCACCCCTGGCTTTAAACTAAAGTATTTACTAATGCAAGCTGAAGGTTTAGCTCTGGGAGACAAGCACTTGTCAGTGCCCGTGTGATGTTTGCAAACAAAGTCCCTGTGCTTATTGTTTATCCTCAGAAGGAAAAGCAGGCATCCAACAGGATATGTATCCTCCTCTGACATTAATTTGTTCTTGGTCACCTTCTCACTTTCTTTATGTAAACCAGAATCCACCTAAGGAATATTTTTGTCTGTGAGCCTCTCCTGCACATATACATAAATGTGATATTTTATGGACCCTTAAAGAAATGTCTCATAGTATCTTACTTATATCATAGAATCACACAAGTGTTGGAAGGGACTTTACAAATCTTCTAATCCACCCATCTGATTCTTAAAACCTTTCTATAATATTCCTAACTCTCAAGAAATGAACATTTCCAGTGACTAGCAGCATTATCTTTTAGAATATTCCATTCTAATTTGTAAAGCTGTTGAATATAGCTTTAATTGCATGAATTTCATAGTGTTTTATCTTCGCGTGAATGCTTTGTTACCATTTATAGAAGATATTTTCCTACTTAAACATCAGGCCTACAAATAATAAAAGTTATTCCTAGCATCTTCAGCTCTTGATAGTCAAAAAGTTAAACATAATGTTATATTCAGCTGAAAGAATGTGCTTTTCTCTTTTAAGTCCTGACAAATTCTGTTGAATGTTTTTAGAAGTCTAGTGAAAAGGATACAATTATATAACATAATGGAGAAGTTGTGGTAAAAGAATTAAAAATCACTTGCAAAACAAACATACTCTCATGGTAAAAAAAAAAAAAAGTAGTGCATTCTATTTTCCCACAGCTAGTAATGCATTATTTTAAAAACTAGTCCATGCTATTTTATGGTAGCTTTTAAAGCAGTTAATTCTGCTTTATGTTGTTTTGTTGTAAGAAATGGCTTATTTTCAGCTACAATTTGTTTCCCCATAACTTTCACACTAATGGGACTCACAACGCAATTCTGATTTTAAACTACCAGACCTTACAGTCTCATGACTCCCAAGTCGCATGGATAATCTTGAAAGCTGATAACAACCATGAAAAAGAAACTGTTCTGAGATTCTAGGTCCACCTTAGCATCCTTCCTACTCTTCCTAGAATTTCTTGCTCATTTTCTTTTACAAGCTAGTTACTATTATAATAAGCCCCTTGTGCTCTCAGACATAAATACACCTAAAATAAATACGATTAAAAATTTTTACATTTACCTGATGTTGTTGTGTTTCCTTTTGCTGCTTCAGTTCCACATCTAGTTTGGTCTGAATGTTTGCTTTTCTGTCATGGCCCCTGTTGCCCTTTGACAGCACACTGGGAGGGGGAGGAACGCTACCAGGCTCCCCAAGTCCTCGTCACATTGTCCCACTGAGGAAGACTGATAAGGACTCAAGACTCAAGAAGAGCCTATGTCAGAGCAGATTAGCAAGCCAGAGTCTGACCTCAAGAAGTGAATCAGGTCCTTGTAATGGGAAAACTCAGGGGTTCAAGTGAGTAGTCAAAGTTAAATTTATAACCTGTAAGGGCATGAGCATTAATTGCACACATCATACAAGCACCTCTTTCCTGGCTCATTTTGTTTGCAAGCTCTATATTCATTTTATATTAAACTTTACTGTACATATACCTTGAAGGCAATATTACATTATTTCATTGCCTTCCAAATTGCTTGTTCTAATCTATTCACGTTTACTCTTTTTCATGCTGTTTCTCTTCAATAATGTAAGGTTCAGCCTAGAAAAATGCATTTAAAGAGCTAGCTAGATTTTGTTAGTGGTAATTGTTCATTTAATTTATTTTATTGCCCTTTCTTTTCTAGATATGTTGTCTAAACTGGTTCATACTTCTTGTAGCAAGCTAACTTGCAACCAACTGTTATTGTTGTTGTAATGAACTTGTGTTATGTTATACAGAAATATGGTCTATTTGATGTGATTAAGGATCTTGTGATGAGGAAATGGGGATGATTCTGAATTACTTGGAGGATCCTAAATCCAATCACAAGAGATTTATAGGAGAGAGACAAAGAGAGATTTGATCTATATAGAACAGGAGGAAGCAATGTGATCCTAAAGGTAGATATGGAAGTGACGTAACCATGTGGGAAGGGATGCTGGCACTCATTAGAAGCTGGAAGAGCAGGAATGGCTGCTTCAAAGAGCTCTGTTTTTCGTGCATGTGTGTGTGTGATTGAGGATTGGACCCAAGACCTTTGTACCAAAGCTACATCCTCAGTCATATTTACTTTTCATTTTGAGACAAGGTCTTGCTAATTGCCCAGGTGGGATTTGAATTTGTGATCCTCCTGCCTCTTCCTCTCCAGTACTAAGATTACAGGCTTGTGCTACCTTGCCTGGCTCCTCTCAAGATTTTGGAGCAAGTAGCATCTTGCTGACCCTAGAGGCCTAGTGAAACAGATGTTAAGTTTGTAGCTATAAAAGATCTATTTTTTCTAAAACACAGCTAGAGGCAGGCATGATGGTACATTCCTGTGATCTCAGCACTCTGGGAGGCTGAGGTTAGAGGATCACAAGCCCAATCCCACCCTGGGAAATTTAGTAACTTAGTGAGATCCTGTTTCAAAAAAAGTCTGGCATGATGGCTCAAGCCTATAGAAGATCACCATGAGTTTAAGGTCAGTACACAGTGAGTTCAAGGCCAATATGAAGTACATATTGAGATGCTATCTTAAAAATAAAAACATTAAGAAAGAAGGTATACGATGATGTGTGAAGTGTAGAAAGGTGTAGGATGGTATGAGAAGCTGTGGAAAAGGTAGGCCAGTGACAGGAACTTTGGGGCACACGGAGGGAAGGGCATGGGTATGGGGTATACATGATGGGGTGGGCTGGAAGGGACACCCATAAGGAAAGAGCAGCCCTGAGTAGTCACACTCATGTACAGATCTCATCTCTGGGCTTTAGATCTGGGGAAAGAAAAACAAAAAAATATTAAATGAAACCAGGGACATAGTCCAGTGCAAAGGCCCCAGGTTCAATCCCCCACCCACTAAATAAATAAAAACCTATTGGGTGTGGTCAGGTAGGCCTATACTCCTGGCTACTTGAGGAGGTTGAGGCAGGAGTATTCCAAGTTGGAGGCCTACATGGGCAATTTAGGGAGATCTTGCCTCAAGAAACAAAAAGGGCTGGGGATATAATCCAGAGTGAAGTCAATAGATTCAATTCCCAGTACCAAAAACCAAAACACATATTACTGCTGTCTTAAACCAGCAGTTTGTGATGATTTATTATTTGATTTAGCAGCAAAAAAAAAAACCTAACATGATTTTTTTCTCTCTCTAAATCAAATCAGTGATTACTTCTGTGGTCCTATTTCAATTTTATTTTCAGGGTTTGTTTGTTTTGTTTGGACCAAGGTCTTGTTAAATTGCCCAAGGTGGGCTGAAATTTACAGTCCTTTATCCTCATCCTCCCAGAGGGCTAAGACTACAGTCTAGGGACCCCCAAACTCAGTTTGCACTTCAGTTTGTTTATGATGGCCCAGCATTCTTAAATAGGGCTCTAAACAGTCTTATTTTATCTTTTTAACTTGAAGTTTCTACACCAACAAAGTTCTGCTTTGGCTAGCATTATGCTTTCCACAATATGGCTGAAAAGTTTCCAGAATAAGAGACATAATGGATACTTTGACATATGATCAACCAACAGTAAGCTTCCAAAGCCGGATCTCTCCTTTTCATTCATCACTTCTAAATCCAGTCTTACTTTTGATCTTTTTTTTTTTTTGGTATCAGGGATTGAACTCACCCTTGCACTTGCCAGGTAGGCACTTAAGCCGCTGAACTAAACCCCCAGATCCTCACTTTTGATCTTACTATTTACCTTCATCCGAACTCTCTCTGCTGTTATTTACCTTTGGAAGGATAAAAATGATCACCTTTTACTGGAATGCATTACTAGATACAAGGGACCATGCTGGTGGTCAGTTCTATGCTCTTCAGAGAAACTGAGATTGCAAGATCAATAGGTAGAAAAGCACAGGCTTAAAACCAGGTCTTATTCTTTTCACTGCCTTTTGAGCTTGAGATCCTAGGTTTCTTGAGAGTTTTCAAAATTAGAATTCTCCATAAGCACCTTCTGTTTCCTTCTAACCAACAGGAAGTACACTGGTTGGGCAGGAAAACTACCCTTGTTCTTCCCTTCTTGTTCTTCTACACTCCACTATAGAACATTGAACCAGTAGGAAGGAGGATAATGTAAAAGATCAGCAAAGGAGCTTTCTTTTCCTTCTCTAAAGTTTCTTGGTCAAGTCCCCTGGATACAGAGTTAGGTTGTCATAACGGTGAGGACCTCACATTTTGGCTATATCTAAAGTAAAGGTTTCTTACACAAAGAAGTTTGAAATCAGTAGTGTGGGCAGTGCTTTTTCCTTGGTCTTAGGAAAGTTATCAAGGTATCCTTTGACTGAAGAACCAGCACCAGAACCAGAGCCCCTGATATGAAGTTCGTTCACTCACAAAGCATCTCTCAATAGGGATCATTATGACATAGTCTGCATGTTTGCCACATATAAACCATCAAATACCACCTGAAGGAAAAGGTTCTGTCTCATGAGCACCAGTGAATGGAAATGTATTGCCAGCACAGTGACCAAGAGAAACAGCCCTTGCTCAGCCTGTGCCATCACCTGACTTTAGGTAAGTTTTCATTCATTCTTCTTTCACTCTACCAGCTATTTTGAGGTATCAAAGGAGTTCTAATCCTAATTCTGACATATTCTAGTTATGAGACTTTAGTTAACCCAATCTTATTAGATCTCAGAACCTGTTGGTGGAAGTTGAAGATAATAATGGTGCCTTTCCAAACATGTCCCTGTGCTCTGGAACTGCCATTTAGTGACTGCTTCATTTGGACCAGTTATGGAACTTTCATTCTCTCATAATCCTCATAACAATGTGCAAGGAAGGCATTATTTTCTCTGTCTTATAAATTACAAAGCAAGGGCTGGGGATTTAGCTCAGTAGTGTAAATGCCTCCCTGCCAAGTGCGAGGTCACAAGTTTGATCCCTGGAACCAAAAAATAAAAAAATAAATTACAAAGCAGTGCAGCAATGTATGAACAGTCTGCAACGAGTACCCTGAGGAGTGACACCAATTATGCTCCTGAGGATCAGGGGTGTTCCCAAATGACATGACGAGTGAGCTTGGAACTGTCAGAAAGAATGTACTGTCTTGATAAGAGATAAGAGTGAAAGCATACATCAGGAAATATCAAGTGCAAAGACACATCCTCTTCATTTATAATCTGTTCTGTTTTGTTCAAGACAGGTCCTGCCTGGTTCTAGTGCAGAAAGTCTCCATTTTCTCTTTGATTTCTTCATGTCTTTCTGTCTGTACCTGACACTCACTGCAATCTTCATTTGCTCTTTCTCTGTATCTCTCCATTTCCACAAGGCTCCTTTAAGTTTTTTAACCTTGCTCTCTAACTTCCTCTCTGCTCCCTCTAATCTAACCATAGCTACAGACTGAGTTCTCTTAAATACTACTCTAATCACTAATTCTAAAACCTTCAATACTTTCTTTCCCTAAAGCAGTCTACAGTCAACCAGATAGTATCCCTGACATACTTTTGCAATCTCCTTTCACTCCTTTTCTTTAACACTGACATTAATCCTTAAACTTAAAAAAAAATTCCAGTAATGGGGATTGAACCCAAGACGTTTGAATTAACACCCCTACCCCACCACCACGCGCCTTTATAGAGACAGGCATCTCACTAAATTGCCCAGGTTGGGCTCCAATTTGTGACACTCCTGCTCCTCCTCCCAGAGTGTTGAGATTAAAACTTGTGCCGCCATGCCCAGCTAGTCTTTAAATTTTTCTATGAATCAGAATCACCCACAGGAAATTTACTAAACCTGACTTTAATCCCCAAATATCTGATGGGACAGTTCTGGGTTGGACCCTAAGCATGGAGTGGTGGTTGCTTTTATAACAGGACATTTGTATTGCTAACAAGTTCTTCTTGGTGTTCCTAACCTCACAGAATTTTAAGAACTACCTCATCAATTGAACCTTTACGTAAATTTGGTAAACTTACTTTCTCAGCTAATTGATGAACTTGAAAGTTTGCCTTTTCTCAGGATCTCCTAATTCTCAAATTCTGCAACAACCCAGATGAAATGCTTCTCTTAGAAAGGCTTTCCCGGTCCCCTTCCACTTCTTTCGTATTAACTTGCACTTTTGTTGTAGCATTGTGTGTGTTACTGAGGATTAAACCCAAGGCCTTTGCACTGAGCTACATCCCTAACCCTTTTTGTTTAAATTTTATCTATTTGCCATGGGACATCACTAAACCACCCACGCTGCGCTTCAATTTGGGATCCTCTTGCCTCAGCCTACCAGAGCGCTGGGTTTACAGGCATGTGCCACCATGCCTGGCTATACTTGTAATCCCAACATTTGTCCTTCTCTCTTCCCTTTAAAACACTTCCTAAATAAGAAAAATACCCAGAAAGCATCCAAAAGCCCACCAACCAACGAACTCCCCTTGGATTTGGAGCGCCAACTTCATTTGTGACTCCATCCCAACTCCTAGCTCTAGAGGGGAATCCGAGACTAGCTAATCTACTGGGATTATAATTCGAATGCCGCCGCAGAGGTCCTTCCCTAGTTATGAAACTAAGGACGGATAAAATCACTCTAACAGTTGATCAGAAGTCTGCAGACACAAAACTGCACGTAGAGAGAAGGGGAAAAAAACAAAATAAAACTATATTACTCTGACAACAACCCGCCGGACGCTCTGATTAGACGCCACCACTCAATGACGTGACGCAAACGTGCGTCGGCTGGGCCGCCAGCCCCACCCCTGACGTTCACCTCGGCCTCTGATTGGCTTTTCTTTACACAAAATCCCTCCCCCTACTGCCGCCCACGTGATCCCCTGGCGGCTTCAGGATTGGTTGTCTGGTTAGAGCCGCGCGGGGCTGTGGGTTGCGGGCTGGAGATCTGTGTCTAGGCGGAGAGCGGACACTGGAAGCGGGAAGCAATCTGGAGCGGTCCGAAGGTTTGCGAATCTGGGTGCCATCGTCTCAGGATACGCCCCATTTCTTGTTTCTCCCGGGTTTAGGAGATTTAGTTCTTAAAGTGAATTGCTGTTTCCTGATTGCAGTGGTTGGTTTGTGCGCTGGCTCCGGCCTTATTTCTGTTTTCCCACAAGGACGGCTTCGGTCTTTCCTGAAGTGTTCGGGGTTTGGACTTTATTCGAGCATCTGTGGTGTAAGGCATTGGCTGTCCCGCGCAGGAATCTGTACAATACTCCTTGAGTGTGGGGAGTAAGGACTTAGGGGTGCTTGAAGTATGGTCCTTTCCCACGTGACATACTGGAGGTAAGTCGGCTTTAATAAATGGTACTGGTATTCAGGGGTTAGTAGGGAGTGTCGCCCATTAGCTTAGTGATGAACCGCTGTGTACCAGGCATGTGAGACAGTCCTGGTGGTTTAGGTAATCCTTGTGACTGGACTGCTGGGAGAGATGGAGAAATGTGAGCTAGTGAGTAGTTGATACGTGGTGGCAGGAAAAGTGCAACAGGAGGAGAGGAAAGGAATACTGAGAGAGTTAGGGACACTTAAAGAAATGGGACATTTAAATACGAGATGAGATTTTTTTTTAAATACAGCGAATGTTTAATTCCCCCAAATTTTATTACAATAAGAGACACATTGCCGTTAGTCCCCCTTGCTTCAAACACACTTATCCTATCATTCTTGCCACTTTCTGAGGTAGTTCTGGAAGTCCTCTTTCATGAATGCCTTCTGGTGCCTTGTAATGGCTGCCTTCTTGTCCTGACTCATTCAAAACGCTTACTTTTTAATAGTCATTTTGGCTTTGAAGAACTGCAAGTAGCACAATACCAAAGCCAATGAATTAAGGTGGACGAATTTTTTTTTTTTTGGCAGAAATTACTATAAATGTTTGATCAGTGAGGGATGATCAGAACTTGCTATCTACATTAATCCCCATCAAAGTAGTCCCTGCATCTGACACATCCCCATCCTTGGCTATGTGTCTTTGACTGTAATTTGGGGGGGTTTTGTTTTGTGTTTTTGGTTTTGTTTTGTTTTGAGACAGGGTCTTGCTGTGTACTCACAGTGATCCTGCTGCCTCAGCTTCCTGAGTGCTAGTTTTGCGGGCGTGCACTACTATGCCTGACTTTAATTATTTTAATTTAAATATTCATCATAGCTTTATGATCACCCCTTGTGCTTCTAGAAGTATAATTAGGTGTTCTCCCCATGAAAATGGGGGAAGGCCCTCCCGGTGGAGTGAGGTGTACAGTGGCAGAGAACTGGGAAGTGTACTTGCCATATGTGTTGAGCAAAGATCTTGAATTCCGTGTTAGGATGTCTATTCATGGTTTTAAAACAAAGCGAAACCACAGTAGATACTCATGTGTTTCCTTAATTTGGAGGGCAAATTTTCTTTTGGATTGATCGAACAAAGCTTCATGCAAAAGGTGGCACTTTGGGGACTTTACAAACTAGAGAAGTAGAATTGAAGTTTAAGAAGGGTTTTAAGTGAGGGGAAGACAGACATTCTAAATGGAAGGCACAGGGTCAAACTGAGCAGGTTTGTGGACTTTGGAATAGTTTAGGCTGGATTTAAAAGTAAAGCACATGTAGTTAGGGTTACAGCATTAAGGATATGTTTGGGCTTTTTTTTTCCTTCTTTTTTGATGCTGTGGATTGAGCCCTGGGTTTCTTATATGGATCAGCTTTGAAGCATTTTTGGAGGAAAAAAACCACTTAGGGGCAGGGATTTAGCTCAGAAGCATAAGCATAAGCACCTGTCCGGCAAGCACGATGTCATGAGCTCAATTCCCGGTACCAAAAAGAAAAAAAACAAAAACATCTTGAGTGCTAAGCAAAGTAATTCAGATTTTATTTCTTGACCATAGGGAGCAATTGAATGTTTGTAATGATAGTCACACAGCTGTAAGATTAACGTGTTTACATTGGATGGGATGGAAAGGGGAGGTAGAACACACATTGACACAGCAACATGATCAGGTGGGAGGAACATGGGCTCTAAAGTCAGGTGTACATTGGTTCAAGATTAGTATTCCTCACTAGTTTCATGATTCTAGATAGTTGATTAGTCTCAGCCTTTGCTCATTTCTAATAAGGATCTGTTTCATCCACAAGGGTTGATGTGGATCAAGCATAGCCCCTTTATAAGTAGGCCCCTGGTGGTTTTCTCTGTGGAGCTTGGTTGCTGAATGGTGAAAACAGACCAACAGCTATCAGTTTTAGAATGCAGAATATCAGTCTGCTGACATTTATCGATGATGGAGGAAAGTATATGGTGCCTCCAGAATTATTTAAATATTGCCAGTATCTTGTTGAGTGTTGGAAAGGATGACTTTATGATATAGTACTTTTCCATGTCAGCAGTAGTACACTACCAGGTGTCATTTGAAATAATTAGAATGTATTGGGCTTTCTCATTCAGAAATTGATTACTGGGTTGCAAAATGTCCATACTTTGCCTTGCTTTATCCTGCTCATGGCCTTCCCCATTAAAGGGCAGGAACCTGGAAGCTAGTAGTGGAAAACAGATACGCATAAGTCTGGAAATCAGACCTGTTCTCTTTGTAGCTCTGCTGTTAATTTGCTGTAGACCTTTGTCAGATTGTAGCCTCTCTTGGGTCTTGAGTTCTTGTATTAGAAGGTTCTCATACAATTATTTTGTGACTATTTTTTGCTTTAGAGATGGGATCTTGTTATGTTGCTCAGGCTGGCCTCAAACTTTTAAAGTGAACCTTTGGCCTCAGCCTCAAAAAGTAGCTGGGACTACAGGCATATTTATTGTGCCAGGCTCTGTGACTGTTTTTATCTGTACTGGCACCAGAACTACAAATTGAACTTATATGAAATAAACTGTACTAATTTAGTAGAAAATCTTTTCTAAAATTTCTCCTTTAAAGCTGGGCTGTGAATCCTAAACATCCCTGAGTTTTTATTATACATGGCAATTGGACTCATATAATAAAAAAAATTGTTTTTAAGTGGTAAATGATTCTTGATTCTTCTGTTTCATAAACAAAAATTTGTTCTCTTTGGCATAGTTATTTAAAGCATACTGAAAGACTATTAAACAAAGCACTTTTTCTCTGTAGATAAGCCTACATTTTTTCCATGTGGGGTTAGGGCATATGACAAGGAGGTGAAGTGCAGTGATGCGATGATGAGTGAAGTATAGTCTGACCTGGTATTGCCATTGCTTCAGTATTGGCTTTGACCAGGGTATGATCCCTTAATCTTCTCTCTGAGCTGATTCCGGTTGTGACATTAGAACACACATACATCTATTTGGGTATTGATTTTATTTTTTTTTTGAGAGTGTTTCTTTGACATCCTTTTGAATTACTGATGCTTTTCATGTTTTCCTTCTTAGATTGAGATGAAATATCTGGCTTTGAAATCTTCATTGAGGACTATATCACTTCCCCTTGTGCCAGTGGTGGATTGAAAACTGATGGTCAATTTAAACACCATCTGATCTGAATCAGCATGGTGCTGAGTGTAGATGGCCCACTTGAGGATTGTTACCAGCATAAAAAGGAGACCTGGAGAGGAAGAGTGTTGTTTGGTGCTGTTGGTTCTGTTGCTGTGAGTTCTCCTGAAGGAGTTTGTTGAACTTCTTCCCTGATATGAAGTTGGCTGTTACCGTCAGAGGAGTTTGGGACCTTGTCACTGAGAATGGCTGCGGTTCATTTTCGGGAAGCTCTAGTCCTTACTTTGAGCATTGCTTCTTGGCTCTGGAGGGGAAGATGTGTGCTGCTCAGTCTCCAGGAGAAACCTGTCATGCTGGATTCCTGATATGAACTCAGCTGTTATCATCGGAGGAGGTTGGGACATCATCACTCAGGATGGCTATGGTACTTTTCGGCAGAGCCCTGGTCCTTACTTTGAGCATTGCTTCCTGGCTCCAGCACAGAACCCTCAACCCATTGGCACAGACTCTTTACCCTGCTGGCATAGACTTTACAGATTCCACCGTGGACCTTTGGGCCTTTCCAGCACAGATCCATGAAGATCTTTGGGGTCCAGGCCTTCAGCTGAATTCTGTAGATCCTTAGTGTATGGACAGATTTCCTGTACTTTCTTTGTATTTAACTCCTTGGGTGGCTATTACAAATAATTTTATGTATTATGTCTTGTCCTCTTTGCAAACCCTGACTACAGCAGTGCCTTGTTACTGTATTAAAAGTGTTTTGACTGGTACTTGATTTGCTTCAGTGTTACAAGAATTTTAAAATAACCACTATACTCTCTTCATAGTTTCAATATTTTGATGTCCACAGGATGGATATTCCATTTCAGTAGTTAGCTGTATCACCTTCATGCTCTCAGAATGTACTTTAAGTTGCTTAATGAAAGATTGGGCATGGTAGTGCATGCCTGTAATCTCAGCATTCTGGAAGCTGAGGCAGGTTTCAGGCCAGTCTGGGCTACATAGTGAGTTCAAGAACAGCCTGAACTAATAGCATGACCCTGTCCCAAAAAAACCAAAAATGAGTTAAAGTATTGAAAAGCATGTATCTCAGCAAAGATACTTTTTTTTCTTTTAACCAGGAATCAGACTCAGTACCTTGCACCTGCCTGGCAAGTGCTGTACTGCTGAGCTCCATCTCTGGCTCCACACTTTCATTTGTCCTTATTTGTTGATTTTTTTTTTTTTAAATCCATGTTTTTACTAACATGCTAATCCAGCAGCACAGATTTTGCTACAAAGGCAATTTGTTTCTTCAGTATTTTTGATACAAGGTATTTTGCACAAGAGTGTAGTCTTGCTGTTGGAGCAGATCTCCTTACTGGATTAACAACAGAAAACCCCATGTTAATACAAAAATACCTCAAAAACACAAAGGCGATGTGTATGGAAATTTATTTTAAATGCCTCAAGATTTGTTTCCACATAATCATGACAGTTCTTTGCCATCTACTCTTAAAATTTAAATGTTTCATAGAAACTTTAACAATCAGGATAATTCATGCCAGTTGAACAAGCAATTTAGAATAAGTAGGAAGAGCCTATTAAAAGGTCTTTTCATTATAATTAGCTAAGAATTTTTTTTAAACCGGTACCAGGGATTGAACTCACGACTATTTATGCCGCTGAGCTAAATCCCCAGCCCCCTAGATTTTGCTTATCTCTTCACTGCTTGTTAGCTTTGCTGTCACATTAAAATTCTTAGGCCACACCCTATAAAGGTTCACCCTTTATTTTCCTTTTAAGTGTCTTCCTAAGAAAGATAGGTATGGCTTATCCTCAAATGTTGAAAAACTGTAGCAGATGTCACTTAACAAATAGGTCACATGATCAAGTATTTCTAAAGGGTGCAGACCTCTGTTCCATATTGTTTGTAAATGATAAAACTTCTCATAGGCAAATGTTTCCTTTTCTAAAGAGGCTTGCTTCCTCTCACCACCACTGTGTGAGATCTAAGCTGGGGTTTTTCCTGGGAGCTTCTACACTGCTTAATCTCTAAGGAAAACAAGGAAAGCTTCTGTACTATTTGTTTTTTATCCACCTCCTCTGTGTTAGCCATCACATCCTCTATAGTCTTGATGCTCTTACTTTAACCAGCGTGGTCAGCTGTAAATAGGTCTAGAAAACTGTCAAAAATGTGAGGGTTATCCTTTTAAATGTACATTGTAGTTCAGAGTTAATATCTTTGTATGAATTGGAGCAGAGATGTTAATACTATGTACCATGCTAAAAAATAGCCCTGTGGCCTTACAGTGCAATATTTAAATTGTAAGAAAGCTAATCTCAATTTTCAGGGGAGTAGAGTTTAATTAGATGTTGTACTTCTGTTGGATAACCTGTGATGGGACAAGCTTGGTGACTCCTCACATAATTAAACACACAACGATAACAAAACACATAACCAGACGTGGCAAGAACAGTATCATTCACCCGGGTTTTCCGACATAGCGGGCACACAGTCTTCATTTTGGGCAACAGAGGAGAATCAGAGTTGTAATCTAGGTGTACAGGTGGTGGTGGAGTAGGCAGGGCAGTCAATGATTTGATAGTTTCTTGATTTTCAGCTGAGTACCACCAGTCAAGGAACTGTAGGAAGAATACGCCCACCGAAAGGCCAGTAGAGAGGAACAGGGCAACACCTCCCACACCTTTCTTCAGAGCTGACTTTATCTTCTCACTAACACTGTTGGGAAAAGAGAACAAACTTCAGGTATACTCCTAAAAATACTAATACAAATCTGATTTTCATCAGAATCACTGATTGAGGCATTGAAGAGTTGCTAGATTGGCACTGTTATGATGTATTCTAGATGGTTCTTTCCTGATAGTATTTTAGCTGCATAGGTGCTAAGCTGCTTTGTTTTGTTTTTTGGTACCAGGAATCAAACCTTAGGACTTCGCACTTGCCAGGTAGGTGCTGTGCCACTGAGCTACATCCCCAGCCCTAAGCTTAATTGTTTTCCTAAGGTTAATTTTTAGTAACAAAAGATTAGGATTTTGTTTTAAGAAAGACACCAGAAAATTTGATTATATAGACTTTTCTTTGGTAGAAGATAGGACATCTAGAAATGAAAAAATCAAAAAGTAACTTAGTAACACTGAGCAGTATATATATTTGAACTTTTTGGAAAACATGAGTAGTTAAAAGTTGATACAGCGTCATGAAAAAGAGCAGGCTATCTGCCTTGAATCTTAGCCCATCTTACAGCTAGGCAGCTTAGGCCAAAGTATTTAGCCATGAGGGCTTGGTTTCCCCAACTGTTTAGTGGAACATGTATTTCACTGCATTGCAGTGAAGCTTAATATATATAAAGCAAACACCTAGCATGCGGCCTGGTACATAGCAAGTGTGCACTAAAATGTAACTACTGTATATGATGTAGGTTACGAGAAGGCAGTTCTTTATGAACACAGGCAAAGCTTTTCTCTGATTTTATGAAATGAAGTAGACTGAGGAAGGTAAATTTCATAAAAGATAGACTAAGCCTTTTGTTAAAAGGTTTTTTTGGAACTGTAAGGCTTACCTCCTGGCTGGCTGCTGCATCACACTGGCTTCAGGTCTCTGCTCCATAGCTTGTATATCCTGAACTGTCAACCGACCTAGTCGAACTCCAGCCAGTTTCAGTAGAGGTGAGTGGTGCTGAGCTTTTCCTAAAATGTATCGGAGTTGTTGTACTAGAAACCAGCCTTCCCAGGCCATGTTAACAAATGGATAGGCTGCCAGGAAAGCTCTGTAAAATCGCTTCCAGTGGGAAGAAGGGGGATGAATAGAATATTCATCCTCTTCTCTCAAGCTAGAAACTAGCTTCTCCAGCTTCACTTTCAGATAGGGAAAAAGAACCAGGAACATAATTGATTTCCAGAGGTGCTTCTTGGGGAGACCAGCACTGGCCAATGTCTGCAACCTGTGAGAGTCTCCCATTACAATACGCTTCAAGCCGTAGAAGTTTTCAGAAAATGAGGCACTGGTTTTAGACAGATAATGCTGCTGAAGCAGAAGATCTAGAAGAGTAAAAATTTCATCAAACCACCTCCAAAGAAATCCCCAGTGGGCAGGATTTGATTCTGCAAGAACCTAAAGCAAAATAAATGAAATTCATTCTTTTAAACATATACTATACCTTTATTTACATTTCATTTTACCCTCTACATTCTACCACTTTTAGCAGAAGTTACTTTTGGGTTTCTTTTCTAACCTCCCTGAAGTGCTAAGTATTCACCACAAGGGTCTAGAAACTAAATATACATTAGGCCATGAGATATAAATTATGCAAATTGTTTCTTTCCAACCTTAGACTTCCAAATAAGCAAAATATTGCATTTTAACCCAGTCGTTCCTAACTCTTTTAGAGAATTAATGTCTTACCTTGACCACATGCTGAAGAGCAGGTCTCACTGCTGTCATTAAACTGTCTTGTGCTACCACCTCAAAGATAGATGGCTGGTCATCCGCCACAGAAGCAGTTGTGATATGAGCCCCATATTCAGCCATAATATTCTGGATGTTCCGGATTTCACTTTCCCCACAAACTCTCTAGTGAGCATGCGCTGGGTGGTGGGGGTGGGAGGCAGGTTACCAAATGGGTGCGGTACTACAGGTGATCTTTCTGCATGACACCCCAAACTCCAAACTCTATTTTACAAGTGAAATTCAACTGAGGCAAAAAGACCTTTGGACTCGGAGAGGAGGAGTCTCAAAACGAAGTTAACGCCAAAGAGGGTGAAGTGGTATGTGAGGAGGGGTGACGTGTCAAATGCAGCCCCTCACAGGGCCAGTAGTAACTTTAGGGCACTGGCATGGGCTAAGGGGCGGTGTCTTCTGGAGCTAAGATACAGCCACCTTCTAGAGATCGGAGGTACCACAGCGGGCCCGGGACACGAAAACTGCCTCCAGCCGTTGACTGTGAAGTACCCTAGCTCGCGCCTGTCCTTGCTCGCTGACCCTGGGCGAGGCGCGAAGGGCCCACGACGCCACCTTTGACGGGGGGAGTCTCGTCTTTATGACAGAATCCACACCCGGAAATAGACGCTGCAGGGATCCCGCGGAGGGCTGGCGGAAGAGACACAGGCGCACACCGCCGTGGACCGGAACTGGAGAACTCTATGGTCTCCCGGGGACTTCCGCTTCCGCCCCTCTGAAGTTAAAGAGGTGGCTTGTGGGGTTTTTGCCTGTGAGTTTTGCTTATGAATTTTGGTGGCTGTGTATCGTAACCTCTGTGTAGTCTCTGATCGTCTATCAACCGAGCAAGGCAGAGTACTCTCTCTGGCTTAATACTTGAAGCATGACGCCGGCGGCTGGCGACGGGAGCCGGAGCTCGGGCCCTGGTGGGCGATCTGTTTTCCGGGAAACCAATCTAGGGGCGCAGGGAGAGAGGAAGAAGGGCACTGGGAGGCGGGGAGGCGTTGTCTGTACCCCTGCAGCAGGAGTGTGGCTCATTTGCCTTCTGCCGTCTTCCGTCTTGAAGCGACGGCGCAGAAAATAGAAGCTTCAGCTTCAGTTATAAAGAAAATTTAGTACGTAGGATGAGCAAGGTTCTACTTGTTCTTCAGAATTTGGGATGATTAATTTTTATCCAAGCTGGTAGTTTAATTGTCTTCCAGGTGTTACATCCAATTATAGCTTTAGACGCTTGCTGTATGAAATGAAAAATCATTACTGCCCTCATATCCAATAGGATGTGTCACAGTAGCGATATGAATGTGAGGCTAACGTGGAAGGACCTGATGAATCAAGCGTGAACTGGGGAAGCTTGACAGTTTATATACTAAAGGTAATATAATGTCATACACCTTGCAAAATGCAATTTGTATACAACTATGTCGTTTGAGTTACTGATACAGGTTTATTGGATTTGGATAAGAGGTTAGCTTCTTGTAATTCCTTTCCCAGGTCTAGGCTAAATATTGAGAAATAGAAAGTATTTACTGCTCTAGAGGATTTTACCATATAAAAGTAGACAATTGGTTTGCATAATGAGAACCCTCAAAAAAGAAAGTCTGGCCTGTAGTCCCAGCAGTAGGGAGGATGAGGCAGGAGGATCACTGCTAGTTTGAGGCCTGCCTCAGCTACATGTATTGAGCTCAAAACCAGCCTGGACTACATTGGGAGACGCTGTCTCAAAAAACCAAAATAAAGTAAAATAATGATAGCACCTTTAAAAAAAAGTCTGGTTGTTTTGTTTCTACCTTAAAAGTTACCCTTGATTACAACTAAACTTTTTTTACTCTAATGAAATACCAAAGTAATATTCTTACAGCTAATGTATCTGTATAAAATACCAGGTCCCCAAGCCAGCTGTAACTACAATAATATATACTTAACAACAAAAATACAACGCCTAGAAATAACATTAAAACAAGTGAGAAATTAAACAGTTCTGTTGAACAGGCTTCTTTAGTTGCAAGCAACAGAAACAAGCTAATTTAAAATAAAAAAGAATTCACTAAAATTGTGGCTCACAAAGTAAGCCTGTCCTGATAGAACAGGAACTACACGATCCTATTGGTTTTCTGTAGCAGGAATTAGTCTCATGCAGCCAGCATTGTTAGAATGAATAAGCTTTAATCAGTGTGTATTTGTCATTGTGCTTATCAAATTACAGTTGACCAACTTTGGTTCAAGTTACCTTTTCACTTCATTTTCCTTTTAGCCAGAGGGGGGTAAAGCACCTTTCTTAATAGTCCCATGAAGATATGCCAAAAATAAACTGAAATCATTCTATGAGAAAAGGAAAAGCAATCCAAAAAATGTCAATTATCACAGTCAACAAATAAGCGCCTCATCAAAAATCCCACCTTTAGCTGGGTGTATGCCTATAGTCCCAGGTTCTTGGGAGGCTGAGGCAGGAGGATCACAAAATTTCACCCTTAAATTTAGAGCTTAATAGAAAATGAGATGCATAAAAAGTAGTTGCACTTTATATTAAAAGGCATCAAATAGGTTAACATTAGAAGGCGAACTATCAGCTGGGAGAAACAAAGCAATTCTAACCAGCTTAAAACAGAAGACGGGGGCTGGGGATTTAGCTCAGCGGCATGAGCGCCTGCCTTGCCGAGTTCGATCCCTGCTACCAATAAAAATAACAACAACAACAACAACAAAGAAAAAAAACACAGAAGACAAATATATTGCTCTGTGTAACCAAATAAGGAGAAGTTGGTTGTTGCTAACTTCATGTTTTATCTCAGCTTCTCCTAGTTTTTATTACAGTGAAATAAACTGATACCTCCTGTACTTCATAACATGTCCCCTAAAATAGTTTTGTGGATTAAGTGGACCTCAAAAGATGAGTACATTTTGGGTAGTCACAGTAGCGGTGAAGGGCTTTCCAGGCTAAAAGAGACGCATAAAATAAATCCAAGAAGAAAATGGTTTGGTGTACTTTGACCACAGGGCAATAGAAATAGTGCAGAACATGTTGAAAAGTAGTTTTGGGTGGATTATTGAAGGCTTTAATTGATGGTCTTATAACTTACTGTAGCAATTCAATAAATAAGTACTTTCTATGTGCTGGGCATTATGCTTCGTTTTGGATATAAAACAAGTAAAAACAGATGTGGTGTCTGCCCTTGTGGAATTTACAGTCCAGTAGGAGACAGTAAATAAGTAAACATATATAATTTATAAACTAAGCAAGAGGGAGGAAGGTGATAGTGAGGGCTGGGAGAGAAAAAGCTGTAAGACTGGGAGAATGCCTTTGCTGAAGCATAACTGAACTGAGACCTAAATTATGAGAAGTGGGGGGAAAAGAGTATCAGGCAGGAGGAGGAGTGTTTGTGAAGTCCCTGAGGTCAGAAAGAGCTTGTATTTTTGAAGGCTACTATAACTAGAAAAAGACGGTAGGAGTGGCTAAAAGACATAAAGTAGCATTAGGAGCCAAACCATACAGGAGACTCAGTCCTAGATGATTCATGGGCATGCAGTGAAAGATGTATATACCAGAGACATGAACGAGTTTACATTTGAAAAGGCTATTTTTGACAATTGTAGGGGCTTATTGATACATTAAATTTTTGCACTTATGACATATGTACTTTTCGAATATATGCTTAACTTTAAAGAAACCCCCAAATTTGGCTGCTATATGGAGAATCGTATAGAAGCTTCTAGTAATATAGGCAGGAGGCAAAGTTGGCTTGGATTTATGAGATAGAAGAGAGGGGACTGGGTGAACTTGAGATATTTGGAATTGACAGTTTGAAAATAGATTGGATGAAGTGATTCAGTGCAGGTTACTTAATCACAATCATAGCAAATGTTTACATAATCCATAGTATGTGCCAGGCATAATTCTGAGAACTTTATGTATAATGATTAGTTTTCAATATTGTAATCATATTATAACTTGGATATTTCTATTTCTCTCATTTTTGTATATTAAAAAAAACCCACAGAGATGGGGAAACCCAGAGCAATAATAGGTTTTGAACATGTTAGACAATGAGGAACCACTGAAAGCTTTTGAGTGGAAAAGTACGAATTCTTAAAGACTTTTCTGGTGACATTTTTCTTTTCAAAATCTACCTCTGCGTATCTTTCTATCTTCTTCATACCCTTATTTGGTTAATTTTAGTGGCCCATAAATATAGAATTACTCAGAAGAGTGGTTAGTGATTTGGTGAATTTAGGGAATTGGTTAGGGCTAGAGATAGGAATTTTGGAGTCATGGGCATGTGAAAAATGATTAAACCTGTAGTGTTGCTAATGGGTTTCCTATAGAGAAAAATATATTGCGTGTAGAGCTAAGCTTTATTTACTTTTGTCATTCTGCAGATTGAATTCAGGGTGTCTAAAACAAACTAGATATGCTAAGCATACCACTGAGTTATCCCCAGCCTTTTTAAAAAAATTATCTTTTTTCAGAGCCAAACTATTTATTTAATTTTATTTGTATTGTTTTGTTTTGATACTGGGAATCAAACCCAGGACCTCACACTTTCCAGGCAAGCACCATCCCAGTAAGCTATATCCCTGGCCCATGTTTTTTCTCTCTTAAAAGAGTCTCACTAAATTCCCCAGGCTGGTGTCAGACTTGTGATCCTCCTGCCTCAGCCTCTGGGGTTGCTAGTATTACAGATATACCTGGCTGAACTATTTTTTTCTAAAGAAAACTATTATGTCTTCAGATATGATTATAATATTGTAACTCTTCTTTCTTCATTTTTTTTTTTCAGACAGGGTCTTATGTAGCTCAGGCTGACCTTGAACTCACTGTGTAGCGTAGGCTGGCCTTGAACTCACAGCAATTCACTTGCCTCTGCCTCCTGAGTGCTGAGGTTACAGGCATGCACCAACAGACACAGCCTCTTCCTTCAGTTTCTTATGAGATACCCGCAACTCCTACCTCAACTCCAGTTATAGTTTAGCAGCATGGCCTTCGTATCTCTGCTGCTATTCACAGCAATGACATCAACACCTCTGTTGCTAAATCCTATGTACACTTTTCGCGCTTCCTTCTCTCTAGCGACTGATATTGTTGACCATTTATTCATTCAACATACTCTATGTTTCTTAAGGGTATAAATGAAATATAAGGGAATGGATTGATATAGTCTTATTTTTATAAAACTCTAAAAACATCCTAAAACATTGTAACCTTCAACTTTGCCATCTACATAGTTCACTTCAGAGCACTTGAAAAGTGTTAACTGTCACCATTCAGTAATTCATCACTTCTAACATTGGAATACTTTTTGGCCTTTATACATATGCAATTATACTTAACATTTCATTGTAAATTTTCTCTTGTCATATTTTATGACATGAGAACATCTGATTTTATGCAATATCTGATTTACCATGTTTACATTTTTGTTTTACACATAAATCTCCAATTCCCTCTCTCTCTGTTTTTTTTTCTTTTTTCTTTTTTAATTTTTGGTTTTTGTTTTGTTTTGTTTGAGAAAAGGTCTCCTATTTAGTTCAGACTAGCCTTGAACTCACCATGGAACCCAGGCTAGTCTTGAACTCACAGCATAGCGGTCCTTCTGCATGTACCTCCTGAGTGTTGGGATTACAGGCATGTTCTACAACACTTGGCTAATTCTTCCTATTTTAATAGAGAAAGTGCACATAAATTTCATAGGAA